GGGGGGGGGGGAGTCTTTCCAACAAATGGTACTGGGACAACTGGATATCCACTTGCCGAAGAATGCAGTTGGAGCCCAATGTCACACTATTTACAAAAATTAGGTCGCAATGGATCAAAGAGCTAAATCTAAAACATTTAGAAGAAAACATAGGTGTAAACCTTTGTGACCTTTGACTGGGCAAGGGTTTCTTAAATACGATTACGATACCCAAAGCAGAGGCAGAAAAAAATAAAAAAATAAACTGAACTTCACCAAAATTAAAACTTTTGTGTTCCAAAGGACACTATCGAGAAAGTGAAAGGTCACCTGAAGAATGGGAAACAAACAATCCATTTTAAAAATGGGCAAAGGATCGGGGCGCCTGGGTGGTTCAGTCGGTTAAGCGTCGGACTTTGGCTCAGGTCATGATCTCGCAGTTCGTGGGTCTGGGCCCCGCGTCGGGCTCTGTGCTGACAGCCCTATGTCTCCCTCTCCCTTCCCTGCTTGTGTTCTGTCTCCCTCTCTCAAAACCAAATAAACATTAAAAATAAAAAAAGAACCAGAAGCTTCCTGCTGAAACCACGGGTCATCACAACTATTTATTAAAGCTCACAGAATTTTCTACTAAAAAAAGGTGAATTTTACTATATATAAATCGTGCCTCAATTTAACACATTTTGCTAAAGTTAAAAAACAAAACAAATCAGATCAGGTCACACACCTACCCCAAAGCATCTAACGGTCAGCAGCCAGGTCCTGACCGAGGTTCACTAGATATTACCGGATACGGGAATCCACACCCACCTAACTCCCTGACCTCCTCTCCCCGGGCCCTCCCTCCCGCTCGGGCCACTGGCGGCCTCCTGGCTGTCCTCAACCGGCCAGACTCGCCCCTGCTACAGGCCCTGTGCTTGGAGCTTTTTTCCCTAAGATATTCACGAGGCCTGCTCTCTGACCTTTTGGACTTTACTCAAATGTCAAGTGTCAAAAGCCGTGGGAAGGCCTGATTTTACGTACGACAGGAAGATGCAGCTTCACGGGGCAAGCAAACAGGGTCTGGTGTTTCTGAGATACTTTAGTCATGAGCCATGGAGGACAGGCACCTTCTTTGGCCAGCCTCTTTGAAACGATAGCCCGTACCCGGAGGACCTCCTTAAATCCCTTCCCTACTTCAGGGTCCTCTGTCACACCTGTCACCATCTTAAATACTTCCTGTCTTACTCATTTCCCTTATTGTTCGTCTCTCCGTGACCAGGGCAGAAGCGGTTGGTTGTCTTTTGCCTGCTTTGTTTAAACGCTTTATCCCCAGCACCTAGAACGGAGTGTTAAGCATTTAATGAAGCATTCGTTGAAAGACAAACGAACGCCAAAATTCCTGAAAGAAATGACGTGTCGGGGGTGTTTTGGTAAAAACAAACCAACAAACCAGCAATCCCACCATGTTAGGCCCCCCCGCCCCCACCCTGTCTTGGTACTCTGCCTCCTGCCAGGCCTCTAGCCATCCCAGCCTTCTTCCAGCTCTTTCAACTTTCCTGGGAGAGGCGGTTTTGCGTATCAATTATGCTTAGAGTTAACCTAGTACTCAACAAATGGTCACCAAAAGGAACTACGTGCCAGGCGGGGCCTGCAAGCTAAACAACTGTACTGGAGCCCAGTCCTGTAGGGAAGGAAGAGAAAGTTTCTTCAAGATTCCTTTTGAGTTTTTTTGGTCTATTTTTCTCAAGTCAGAGAAGAGGGCACACTGAGAACTGCTCCTCCGACCCAGCCCTTATCACAGATCTGCTCAGACGAACCATTCGAGGGAAACAAAGGTTAAGAAGGTTAAGTGAAATCACGAAGAGGTGCTTCTCCGTGGTTAACGGCTGAAGTATCTCAGAAACACCAGACCATACTGCTTTCACCGTTAAGCTGGATTTTCCTGCCTTATGCAATATTCTGCCTTTTGGTGGCTTTTCTCTGCCTTCCCTACACGAGGAATCTGGCTATAATTCCCAAACTCGAATGCACAGTTCTTTCCCTTGGGAAGTTCACAACAACCACAAATGCCATCTGGATATAAACAGCATACCAAAGCGTCAAGGTCACTACAAGATAGGAGAGTGGGTAGGCTTATTTTTGGCTGTCAGTACAGCCCTGAGATAACTAAGAAATCCCTGGAACGGGCGGGGTTGATACATGGACCAACGTGGAATCAAGGGAAGGCCAGCGGACCAGCAAAACAGGGCCACTCGATAAGGCCAAAACAGAGCAGTGAGCAGACCTGCTCCGCGGGGGGTGGCAGAGAGCGGGCCCCATGTGGAAAAAACACGGGGCCCGAGGCTGTTCATCCTGCCGCTGGACGAATCAACAGATACCAACTCCCTGAACGATGCTGGTCTTCACCATCCCTATGTTCAGACTGAAGACATGCCCCTCAATTCTTCCCTATGCCCGGGAGAGGGTGCGGTGGACTAGAGATCTAACCTAAGAGAACCTAAGGCTCTGCCGGCCGAGTCTGCGTGCCAGCAGCACTGCTGCCCCCTGCAGGCAGTTCCTCGCTATTACGGAAGAGCTCAGTGGGCTGCGACATGCTGGAAAGCAGTCACCTACCCCATCGCAGCAGAGGGGGCTCCAGGATTGTTCTTCAGTTCCTGCACGTTTACCACTTGAGGGACGTTCTTCAGAGTTGATTCAGTCAAAGTACTTACAGCTATTTAAAGAGAGAGGAGAGGGGCATGTTAATTGCCGTACAGGATCAAAAATTCCAGCCATATATAAATGCACAAGCAGGACACGAATTCAAGCAGTAATCTGATTACGTAAAGGAAATCTACTCTGGGTAGTTCTGCAGCTCTGTGATCAATGGGCCGGCCGGCCTACTCCATTCACAAAGATTATGGGATGAGGCTCTGCACAATTTAATCAGACGTACTATTTTAGGGAAAAAGAACCCTGGCCAGCTTTTAAAGGGTGGAGCTGCGGCACCTGCCACATTGTTGGCTCGTCCTGAAAAGGGGCGGAGACAGTAGGAGCGTAAGAGAGTAAGAGCGGTGTTCAGGTTGAGGATTTCTGCCACCCACCCGCCCACCCACCCAAACATTCTTTCACACGGGCGGCTTATCACCAGATTCTTTTAGGTGCTGGGAATACAAAAAATGTCCAAAACCTAGTTTCTTCTCTAAAGGATCTCACGGCTTAGTGAGGCAGACGCATGAGTAAGACGGAGCTCGGGCAAGAATGGTTGGGGGAAAGGCCAAGAGTCTGAACTCACCGAATGGCAACAGGAGGGACACCTTCTTATATCTACGAGGCAGGTCAGCTTTCACGTCTTTTTTTGCCTTAGGGTTTAAAACTGCATTCCGAAACACTAACGTTTTCTAAGTAACTACCAAGATGGCCCGAGCAAAGCTCCCGGGTCTCCTCTAAGGACATTTCTGGCACAGTGGAAGGCTGTGGCCGAGGTAGGACGGCGGGCCTGTGATGGTCTGCTGTCATTCCCTCCTGCAGGGAAGCGACCAGGCTCGTCCTGCCTGAGCCTGCACACGTCACCTTTCACATCCAAACGTGCCTACACCTCAGAAATGTTTGCTTCCAAAATGATAACAGAGATCACACCATCTCCCGCTGAGTGGAACGACCCTACATTCTGGCCGATTTTAAGTTTATAAATCATCAACTCAGTCAGCTTGATCTGGGGCCTACTCAGCGCAATGCCGACCAAGATTCTGCACGTTCCGAGTAACATTTAAAGAAAACATCAGAGGATTCTATGTGTTCTGAAGGCCCAAAGGTACCTTAGAAAGCTACCTTGTTTGTGTGCTTTCATACCTGTTTTAGGAGCTTTAATAAGGGTTTTAATATTAGAACTTTTCTTAGAACGCTTTCATCACTGTACAATGGTAATCCCTTTTTGTCATAATCAGACCACTATGTCCTTTCAGTCTTTTAAAAAGAACTGTCCAAAGGGATACGTGTTCCAAGCAGTGCTAAAATCCACAACCAATATCCTTCAACTAACACAAAACACTTGCTTTATGGCGGAGTTTCTCGACTTCAGCAGTATTGACATTTCGGGCCTGGGTAATCCTCTGTTGTGGGGGTGTCCTGTGCACTGTAAGGTCTTTTGTGGCATTCCTGACCTCCACCCGCTAGAGGCCAGCAGCACCGCCAACTGCTGGTGAGGAATGCGGGGTGAGAAGAGCCTCCACTTGAGAACCAGTGGCTTGTACAAATTAATTAGTGGTAACTGACGCGCTCAAGGCCAACTACTTAGAAACCCTAACACAGAAGATTCTGGGTAGCTGCAAAGCATTGACAAAGTGCAAGCGCTGATTATGATTAGTTCGCTAGACTTTCCGTCTGTAAAGGCTAACCCAGCCGTCTTTAAGAAAACGCCGTGCAGCAACAGAAAGAGCACAGGGGTGGAGTCTGGGTCCTGGAACTTACCGGCTGGGTAACCGTCACCTCTCTCACCTGACATCACTCAGAAGCAAAACGGGCGCACGAAGACTCACCTCCCAGGGGGGCTGGGATCCTTATGACACTATCAGGCAATTTTTAATGGCTTAAAGCAGACACTGTTCAAAAGCAGGGATCAACAACTTCATCAGAAAACCACTCGACTGAATGCGGTGGATCTAATACCTCCCCCCAAAATGAAAAAAGCGTCGGATCTAGCCTCTGCCTTCTTGGAACCCTCTCCCCAGAAAGGGGCGGGGGTGAGGGGGCTGTCCCAACGGGCCTCTCTTCTCAAGGGCAGCAGAGAGAGCCGGCTGTTGCCTGGGACCTGCCGGGCCGGCCGGTGACTGCCGAGGCTCCCGGTCAGTCTCCGCAAAGCGCAGGGCAGCCGTGTTACCTGGGGCCTGACTGGCCATCTGCCGTCTCAGCGCTGCAGCGGCGGCCGCCTGGGGAGCCGAGATGGGGTGGGAAGGACCAGGTGCGCCGTGTTTCACGGTTTTTGTTGCAAGCATCGTGCTATCGGCCCCTTGAGGAATAAGTTTGCTGGTAGACGTAGACACTGAAGGAAAAAGAAACCCAAGCGAGAGAGTGGGTCAGGGAGGAGTGCACAGAAGTGGAGACAGCAAATCCCCCAGTGTGAGGTCGCAGGGAAAACGCGAAGGTTGAAGATGCTTCGGCATAAACACACGAAAGTACCGATAAACTCCCAGGCTGGCGCCTCGATGCTCCAAACGTGCCGCATGCCGTGTGCCTGCTCGACTCTGCCAGCTACAGCACCTGACACAAGCATCTCCTCTGATACAGACCGAGACAGAACTTATAGGCCAACAGAGGTCAAGGCCTCGCTCTCCTCTCATAAAAATCTCTCCATTCCAGCACCTCCCGATCGGTAAGTGCTTGTTCCCTGTTAGAAGTCACTTCAGTGTGGGGTGCTCGGCAGCTCAGTCAGTTGAGTGGCTGACTCTTGATTTTGGCTCAGGTCGTGATCTCATGGTTGTGAGATCGAGCCCTGTGTCGGGCTTCATACTGAGCATGCAGCCTGCTTAAGCTCGCTCTCTCTCTCCCTCCCTCTGCCCTGCTCACGAGTGTTCTCTCTCAATTTCACTTCAGTGTGAAATCCTGACACTCTGGAACGGAAGGTGTGACAGTCCAATAGTGGTCACCTCTGTGAGCCAATGCTGGGGCAAGCATGGCAGCTGGCAAGGTCCAGGGCAGAATATGGCTAAAATAATGAGCTGAAACGAGCCAGGATTTGAAAGGCATGAGTTACGGAGATGTGGCTTTAGAGTGTGGCAGACAGCCTCCTCCTCTTACACCTGAAACCACCGTTTTTGTTGTTGTTGTTTTTATGTATGTTTATATATAATCTCTACACCCAACATGGGGCTTGAACCCCCGACCCCGAGATCAAGAGTCGCTCATTCCACCAACTGAGCCAGCCGGCCGCTCCAACACCTATTTTAGAAACACAAGCTAGACTCAACAGGAAAGCTGTGTCAGCGTGAGCCCGGCGGGGTCCCTCCTTCCTACCTCTTTCAAGGGGACCCACCTCCTTTGAATTTGTCTTCTCATTTCTGAAACACTAGCGGAGATGGGCCGGACTGGACTTATGGGGGTGACAGTGGCACGGTTCCTCCATCGGACACAAACCTGACAGGGATCTCACCGCTTACTTACCTGAAGTTCCCATCACGCCGGGCGAACCATGAATCAGGTGAGATTTGGCAAAAGGCGCTGCCTGCGGCAAGACGCCGGGCTGGATAGAAGGGGTGCGAACCACAGGCGCGTGCCGAGGGGCCTGCACCGCCGCGTCTTCGTCCTTACAGGATGCCCGCGTGTCTTCGCTCTCCAACGACTGGGACACGGACGACGTGGAGCTGGCTTCGTCCAAGTCTTCATAGTATCTCTGCGACAGGAAGGCTGACCGAGACAGGCTGGCTACCAAGCCCGAAACAAACACAAGAGAGACGGTTCAAGCGAGTCTGAGAGCTATGTTACTTTCACTGTCGACAGAGAACTACCCAGTTTAAAAACACTTTAGCAATGACTTATTTTAAGTGGAAGAAGCCGTGGTGGAAGGTGAACACATATGGTTTTGGGTCTTTGCTCAAATGAAGCTTTGAAAACCCGAGCTGCGTAGGACGGGAACATTTGGAGTGTCGAACAAACAACAACAAAAAATGTGAAGTAAGAGACGAAATAAATGCAAATGCAGGAGACCTCGAGCCCCCACCAGAAGCTCTCACAGGCAGAATGACAATAAACCAAGGAAAGTACCAGACAAGCGTCCACCAAAGAGTCACTTTGCAACAACAAACTTTTAAGAACAGGCGTCGCACGAACTGGGAAGACTGAATGTCCTCAGTCCCGGTGCCTCCAACATGCCCAACCATCGGCTGATTCTTTTGAATCAATTAGGTTTAAAAAAAAAAAAAAAAAAGTCACTGAAATTAATCCTGACTTTTCCCGCTTTTTCTTTTTTTCCTCCTGTTAAGTGATGAAGGAAGGCTTCCTGCCGTTTTGGAATACATTATTACTTCCTGTATACTAGAAAAACCATACACCAAACAAAAGACCCAGCCCTTTCGCAAGTTAAGACCATTGCTAACATCTACTGACTTCCTGCCTTACAGGCCCATCACTCGGCAAGATCTTGTCGCAATAAGCAAATACAACCGAAAACCATCGCTGCCTGCTGGGACTGCCGCACTCGTCGATTTGGTGGCCGTGAGCCAAATGGGACTAGGTGAGACAAAAATAATTGAAAGTAATTTAATGAAAATTTCGAGTTGTCAGCTTCACCAGCCACGCAACAACTACGTGTGGTTACCATACTGGAGTGCACAAATATAGAATATTTCTCTGGTCGATGGAAGTTCTACCGGACAGCACTTTGCCAGAGTATTTTCGTGCATGTACTTCTGCAACAGGGTCACTTAGAAATACCATCCCAAACCACCAGCACTGCTAGTAAAACTGCAGTGCGTATTTCCCGAGACCGTACTTGGTGCAGGTGCCGTGAAAGGGATCTATATAAATTATCCCCTTTAATCCTAATAACTACCCTAGAAAGTAAAAATTGCTATGATTGGACTTTATAACTAATGCTTAGAAAGGCTGGGGTGCCTGGGGAGCTCAGTCAGTTAAGGACCCGAATCTTGGTTTCAGCTCAGGTCATGATCTCACAGCTTCTTCGTGGGTTCAGGCCCGGCATCGGGCTCTGTGGTGGCAGCGTGGAGCCCGCCTAGAATTCTCTCTCTCCCTCTCTCCCTCACTGTGCCGTCTCTGTCTCTCTCAAAATAAATAAAAAACTTGACCATGTTCTAAACAATATCACATAAGACTGGACACTGTGTGAGGCAGAACTGTGACCCCATGACCTTTGCCCCTGGTTCCACACCCATAAGGTTATGCCTCGTCAGACGGCAAAGGGATGCTGCAGACATAATTAAGGTTACTCATCAGTGGGTCTTAAAATAGGAAGGCTAGCCTGGATCATCCAGGTGAGTCCAATGTAAAATCTCACGAGCATTTAAAGGCAGAGGAAGTCAGAGAGCTGAGGCATAAGAAGACCGTGCTCTTGCTGGCTTGCAGATGAAGGGGCTGGGAGCACATGGCAAAGAAACATGGACCTCAGTCCTACAGCTGCAAGGAACTGAATTCTGCCAGCAAGTGGAATGACCTTAGAAGCGGACTCTTCCCCAGAACCTCCAGGCAAGAGCCCAGCCCAGCCCAGCCACCATCTTGACTTCCGGCCGGGAGCCTTGAGCAGAGGACACAGTTGAGCCCTTCTGCGCCTGGACTTCTGCCCCACACATCTGTGATGCTTTCAGCCACTAAAGGTGGTGCTTTCAGCCACCAAATCCGTGGTAATTTGTAACAGCGTGTGCAGAAAAAAAAAATACAACCTCACATTTTCTTAGGGCCACCGTGCTCTAAGAGTTCTCTAAAATCTTGGTTCCCGAGAGGTAATAGCAACAAAAGACGATTCACATCCACTGCCTTCAAGAACTGGATAGAGAGAGAGACTGACATTACTACGTAACTCCCAAGGTCTGATATAACCCGGGAGACCTCGCAGTTTCCTCCTTCATCATCGGGAGGCCATTCGCTGACCTTGGATGGAGAGAGAGCCACTGGATGAGACATACAAGGGCTATGCTCACTCGCAGAGGCCAGGAGGCTGGAAGGCCCAGTCTCCCAGCGGTGCTGTCCTCATAGCTGATGTGAGCCGCTCCCTGCTGGGCTCAAGGATGCAGCTACCTCCTGGCATGAGAAAAGGGGCCCACTGAAACCTAAAGAATCTTTTTCTGCTTAAACTCCAACTGAGATTAGAAAAGGCAGAATGCCATGTCAAGAGAAAAAAAGAAAGACCGAAAGAAATCATTATCGGTAGATGCAAACGTCCCATCTCATGGGGAACATGCAGAAAGTGTCCCCTTTGAGCTCAAGACAAGGATGCCCACTCACCACTTTAATGGACTCTGCACTGACCGTCCTAGCCAATGAAATAAGGAAAGAAAAAATAAAGGAACAAGAAAGTAGAAACAAAAGTGTATCTATGGAGACTATAACTATTCCCATAGAAAGTCCAAGAAATAGCCACAGACATTATTTGAATAAATGAGTTTAGCTAGGCTGCTGGATACAAAATCAAACATAAAAAAATCCAATATATTTCTATTATCACATCTAACATAAAACATAAAATGAAATTTAATGAAAAAAACCCACCATTATAAGAACATCAAAAATATGAAACTCTATGAATAAATCCAATAAAAGATGTGTATGTCCGTCATGAAGAAAACACTGAGAAATTAAAGACCCCACTAAACACACACCATGTTTAGGAACTGAAAGATCAACACTGTACAAACATCAATTTTCTCAGGTCAGTCTAGAGATTTTATGCAATCCCAATCAAAATCTCAACTTTTCTTCTAGAGTTGAGGGATACAGAATTTAGCAAGACAATTTCAATATTAATATGGAAATGGAAAGCAAGAGCCAAAGCAATCTAGATCACAGGTCAGCAAACTAAGACCATGAGGCAGCTACCTGTTTTTATAAATAAAGTTTTATCGAAACACAGACAAGCCCATTCATTTGTATACTGTGTATAGCTGCTTTCTCATCACAAGGGCAGAGTTGAATCAGGTACAACAGAAATCATGGGGCCAGCAAGGCTACTATATACATATATATACATATGTGTATATACATATATTTTTTACATTTGTCTATTTTTGAGAGAGAGAGAGAGAGAGAGGGACACCCAGCGTGAGCAGGGGAGGGGCAGAGAGAGAGGAAGACACAGAATCTGAAACAGGCTCCAGGCTCCGAGCTGTCAGCAGAGAGCCCGACGCAGGGCTCGAACTCACAGACCGTGAGATCAGGACCTGAGCCGAAGTCGGATGCTTCACCGACTGAGCCACCCAGGCGCCCCTTTACTACCTAGACCTTTAAGAAAAAAAGTTTGCCAACCCCTGTCCTAGACTAGAGCTTTCTGTGATGATGGCATCACTCCATCTATGTTTCCCGTCACAATAAACACTAGTCACATGTGCCTACTGAGCACTTGAAATGTGGCTACTGGGTTTGCATAACTGAATTTTTAACTTTAGTTTTTATTAATTTAATTTAAACAGCCTACTGTATTAGACAGCACAGCTTCAGAATTTAGAAAAAGAACAGTACTGAGGCTTTATTTTTGTAGGAGTTAATTAAGGCAACGTAGTAGCAGTGGTTTCTAACCAGTGTATGAGACCAACAGACCTGCACACAAGGATAACTGATTTATAACAAAGGTGGCCACAAAGCAGTGAGGAAAGGAGTCCTTTCAATAAATATTATTGGGATGATCAGCTAGCTAAATACAAGACACGTATGTCTCAGGCACAAATCAATTCCAGACAGTATAAACAAACATGGTACCTGCACACAATGGACAACTATTCCGCGACGAAAAGGAATGAGCTACTTATGTATGTGTGCATCACGGGGGAACCTCAAAAACACACTAAGTGAAAGAAACCAAACAGAAAAACTAGATGTGATCCCATTTATATGCAATTTCCAAAAAAGGAAGATCCACACAGAAGGAAAAGACATCAGTGGCTGCCGGGGGCAGAAGACGGAACGACCACAAAGAAGCATGAGAAAACCTCCCGAGGGGTGCAGGTGTTCCCAAACTGGAATGTGGTGACAGCGATACGATTCCGTAAGTTTTAATAAAAATTCTCAAACTCTATGCTTATAGAAGATGAATCTTACGTAAACCATACCTCAATACCATCGCTCAGAAGAAAACCAATTCCAGGTAGGTGGTAAATCTAAATCTGCAACGCAAAACATTAACATTTCCAAACAATGAGAAAAGTGCGTGCATACTCTTGTTACCCCGTCCTATAGAAGGATTTCTCAAACCGAACACGGAAAGCACCAACTGCCCAAGAAAAGGCTGGTAAGTCTATTTTAAAACTAAGCGCGTCTGTTTTTGCCAAAAGACATCACCGAGAGGGAAACAGGTAACAGAGGGAGTCCCCACAACCCATATAACCACAAAGGGCTGGTATCCAGAATGAATAAAAAGTTTTACAAATCAGTAAGACAGATCACCCAATAGGTAAATGAGCAAAGATGGCGTCACACACTTCACGAAAGTCAACTATTAACTAAATATTTAGTAACACATAAAAGGGTTACACCTGAGTTTCAAAGGAAAAAAACGGACAGTATTAAGCTTGGCAAAGATGCAGAAAACTGAAATAGTTTTACTTTGATGGTAAGAGTAAAATAAGCTGGTACAACCACTTTGGAAAACTGCACAGAAGAATCTACCAAAGCCGAGCGTGCGGACAGAGTACAAACCACTTCCATTCCTAGCCATGTGGCCAAGCAAGAGGAGGACGTATGTGCCCCAAGGACATGCACAAAGATGTTCAGAACAACATTCTATTCCATCAGCTAAAAACCGCAAACACTAAATGCCCACTAAGAGGAGAATGGATGAACAGATGCGGCACATTTATACAGCCAAATACCACATAAACAGCCACAAAACCAATCACAGCCTCCCGTGACGACTGAGGACTCTTACAAACCTGCTGTGCAACAAGAGAAATCCATCCAGAGAATAAATGAATGGACGGAGACAGCAGGCAAAACCCTCAAAAACCAGGCAAAACCAAACGACAGTGTCTGGGGAGACAGGCTCCAGGTAGTAAAGCTCACAACAAGAGCCAAGTTAAGGAGATTAAAGAGAATGACAACTTCACGCAATGTCCAGCCCTAAACCGGATCCTTGATTTAAAAAAAAAAAAAAAAAAGAGTTGCCATGAAGGCCCAAAGAGGGACAGCTGGCAAACCGTGAGTATGGACTGCATATTGGTAACAGTGTTCTGTGAATGTTAAATTTCCTACCCCTGGCCACTGTATTATTGTGTAAGAGAATATCTTGCTTTTAAAGGACACATGCTGGTTAATTTAGGAGTAACGAGTCCTATCTGCAACTTATTTTCAAATAGTTCATTAAAAACAATAGAAAAACCTGTACTCTAAAAATTACAAAACACTGACGAAAGAAATTGGAAAGAACACAAAGAAACAGAAAGACGTTCCATGCTCATGGACTGGAGGAACAAATAACGTCAAAATGGCGATACTA